GGCCTGGTTGCAGGCCAGGACAAGAAACTGAAATTACAACAGCGACTACAGCGACGAGCCCTGCAGCTAGTGAAGAGATGGTAATAACCACCATCATTCTTAATCCCTCTGCTAGGACTGACCCGTTCCTGAGAGCAGAAAAGAAGGTTGGACTGAAGTCCATGGTAGCAGTGTTAGGTATGTCCTCCTGCCTTTAAAAGTGGCTCTAGAGTTAGAGTAGCTGACTGAAGTGAAACGTCTGGCCCAGTCTCTCCACTCAGAGCATTAAAGTCCTGCCAAACTCCCCCTTGTTTCTCCCTACCCGACCCACAGCCACTAACTCCACTCCTCTCTAGCACTCTCTCACACTTGTTTCAGATACTCTATTCCTTTCCTCTCAGGTCCACCTATTGCCCTAGTTCTTCTCACCAGAATGCCCACTTGAGTTACCCACACAGCCCACAGGAGGAACACTATGATCCTCAGATCCTTTCAGCTGAAAGCCTCCAAATCAGCCGCAGGGCTTCTAAGGCAGCAGCACTGCCCAACCTCTGTAACTGGCATGGAGTAAAAGGACCGTGTACAGAAAGCACCGAAAACCGATCACCATGAGACTGCAGAGGACAGAAATACAACAAATAGAATGCATATTTTTTTTCTGTGTTTTGAATCCTTCCAGAGGGGATGGTTCCAAGAAGTGATGGGAGGGGAATTCTAGCTTCAAAATAGTGTTCTAACCTGCAGGTTTTCCCCAAGGATCAACACACTCAAGTAGTTTTCTCAATGCTAACATGAAGCTATGAGGAAACTTAGTTTGACAGCAAAGATTAAATAGGATGGCACCAAGTCTACTTGTCCTCTGCCACACACTCCGACATGTCAACACAATTAAGGTGGCCCAGTGCTGAGGAGATGAACTCAAGCAAGACTACGGCAGTGCGTGGGGACAAAGAAAAACATTTCGAAGCTCTGGCAGCATAACACTGTTTCCTTTGACAAAAGGGAACAAAAGGGACACTCCCAATTAGTTAGTTCTAAGTGCCAGATTCAAATTCAGTGCTAAATTATGTGAGAATCTTTATTAGTGTTAGTACTAAAGCGAGTTATAGGAGAGTATAATATACCACAGGGTACAAGAGGCTTATCAGCTTTACTCTAATGTACTGTGGAATTCTGGTCATTGGTGCAGGGTCTAAATTACTTCAGGGCTAATCCAATGAAGTCTCATAGGAACCAGGAGATCTCAGCCTTTTCAACTCCATCCAGTAGTGAAGATAAAAACAAACATAGCAATTTGGGTAACTGATACAGGTTAGAAAAAGTCAAAATCAATCTACCTATTCCCACCCTGAAGAGGGCTTACAGCATTACTGGACTTTTCCCTTTCAACAGTGACAGTAATGCTGATGTGCCTCAGATTACACAGAACTGACACACAGGCTTTATTTTAGTATCATCTAAGATCAGGAGCCTAAGTACAACTGATTTTTTAATAAGCTTTTTAAAGTATTACCCACATTCATGACAACACAGGAGGAATGCGACAAAACCCAAGTCCAAAATGCTCTTTTTATGGTGTCAGTGCCCTTCCCCTATTTTAGAATGAAGTCAAGCCACATTAAGCAAGCACTATCACAGAGGAGTGACCAGATACTGATATATAAACAAACATGCTCTTTTTTGTGTGTGCAGAACACATTTCTTTTAGGTGTTCTCTATATAACATTCACCTGGTATTTAATTTTTTCCTATCACAACCACATTAAATTCGACATACTGAAAATGAGCAGAAGAGCATGAGTCGGTACTGATCATCTGGAAGACTCCAGATCACACTCTGCTCTACTTGCTTCATTCCTAGAGCTCTTTGCCTTTAAGCCCAGCATCAGGAATTCAATAAATTTCAAATTTTATCATAAGACAGGCTGTTTAGCAACAGCTCATTTATTTACTACACACATATAAAACCTGCCCTTCTAGGTCACATCAGAGTTCCATCATCTCGGTGTTAGATGCACAGAGAAAAAGTAAAAGGAACAAGATAAATACACAGCAATATTTACAACTTCCTGAGCCATGACTCACATCTGCAGAACCATATTTAGTAGCCACTGATGGCTAAACACTTTGCTTTATTTGAATCCACTTATTCAGAACCTACACCTTAACTACAAGATAGGGAAAACACCCAAAAAGACAAAAGCAAAAAAATGGTGTGCATCTTCAGCGGTCACGTGCTACCGTCATCCCTCATGACATCACATGCTTCACCAAGTTCAATCACTAAAAGCAGAGGAAAAATACTCCACAAATGAAAGGTCTCATCCTGTCTCTGACGTGAAAAATCAGCGTAACTCTGTACGACCACTACATGTGTGGATGTGTCAGCCCAAATAGACATTATACATAAATACAGAGCTCTACGCAGGCTTTTTCATTTGACTTAAGACTAGATAAATGTCACAGACTTTCTCCTGTTAGTATTAGCATTTGCAAGGAACGGCCCACTAATATTAAGAAGTTTCACTAAAAAATATATTAGTTTCTGTTAAGCATGTGACAGAACAATGGACTATTACTCAGTTTTCCCCTCAAAGGAATACAAATCCTACAAATATATGCAAAATGGATACAGACATTTGTCCTACATAAATTCCTGGGATTTCTTAATTATGTTTGTCTGGCTTAAGCAGTGAGAGCTACTGACCCATAAAAGGAATTATGAGCACACTCTGCTTTTGATTTGCAAGAAGGTCCTTCTCAAGTGTTCATTTACGTCATCCTATTACCACTTTTCTTCTGGAAAAGTTCATAGAATGACAGAATCATTAAGGTTGGAAAAGACCTCTGAGATCATCAAGTCCAACCATCAACCCAACACCACCATGCCCACTAAACCATGTCCCGAAGCGCTACATCTACACGATTTTTGAACACCTCCGGGGATGGTGACTCCCCCCCTTCCCTGAGCAGCCTGTTCCAATGCTTGACCACTCTTTCAGTAAAGAAATTTTTCCTAATGTCCAATCTAAACCTCCCCGGCACAACTAGAGGCCATTTCCTCTTGTTCTATCGACCTAGAGTTACAAGTCTTGTCCACATACCTCTGCTGCCTATGAAGGGTAAATGTCCTTATTTGCATGTGCCTTATAATGCAGAGAAAAACACATGCTGTAATTTAAAATATTTAATTTACTTTAAAAGAAAAACCACAAAAAAACCCTCTAATATCAATTTTAGCAAGCAAAAAGCATCAGGCCTCTTTTAAAGGTATACCAACAGTTTTGGCCAGGAACTAAAAAGGATTTGCTTTCTCTTTTTACTGATAGACCATTTAAGAGTATTCAGCTTATGTGAATTTCCCCTTCTCTTCATTAATTCAAATTCTATTTTGTTCCTCCAGATTAACTTTACCTTCCTACTTAAAACAACCCTTCTCTTTGTATTTAAAGGCTTCCTTTGTTTGAAAGGTTACTGGTTTTGCTATTGTACAATCATTTCTTCTACTGCACAAGGCTTGCTACTTTCCAGTCACTACTAGCTACAAATCTACAAATCTAAACACCACAGTTGCTGCAGATTGTTCCCTAATAGTGTTCTGCAATCTGCTGGACGTGAAAATCTACACTGAACCTATTAAATGCTCCTGTACAAATACAAGTGCTCAGCAGTCCTATGGATTTGAACAAGACTAAGTAAAACACAGAAGGTTCCACCTGAACATCAGGAAATCCTTTTTTTACTGTGAGGGTGGCCAGGCACTGCAGTAGGTTACCAAGAAAGGTTGTAAAGTCTCCATTCTTGGAGATAATTCAAAAGCAGTCTGCACACAGTTCCATGCAACTGGCTCTAGAAGGCCCTGCTTCAGCAGTGGAAGAGATGACCTCCAGACGTCCCTTCCAACCTCAACCACTCTGATCATTCAGCTGTCAAGGCACCTGAGAGTTCATAGCTTAGGCAGACTCATGAGAAACAAGCTGCTCCTACCATTCCAACAGCTGACCTCTGTCCACGTGCAGCTAACACCTGGGTCAGTGGAACCACTCACTAGGATGACACACCATTTGAGATTCACACCAGGTCTATTCTCTAGGATTAGCGTAAGAGTAAGCACACAGGAACACTTTACAGGACAAAAAGAAGCATAACCTTTAAAAACTACTATTGAAATAGAAATACCTGTAATCTAACTGGAGATAGACCATCAAGTTGGTCCCGGCATTAGTTTATTTACACCTTTCCCTGTCTCCCTACTTGTCATTTCTTCTCGGCTTTGATTAGAACACTCAGGAAAGTGTTTTCTCTGTTGACTACCGTAATGGGATCCTGAGCCTAAATAGGACTCTTAAAACAAACACAAGAAAAATCATACTGGTACTAATCAGAAAATGTCCCGAATATAACACATTATTTTTGCTAGTGGGTTGACTCAATGCTGCATGTGATGGTGTAAAGCAAACCACAAATACTCATTCACATGCCACACAACTGCTGTGAAGCTGATTTTGTGCGTGGAAAAGAAACTATTTATCAAAATAAACACGTGGTATGTTCCCTGCCAAAGATCTAGTCTCCAAGGTCTAATTTAGCAGAATTCTTTCCTTTCCTCTGGAGAAAATCAGAAAGGTTCCCCCCCTCACTCCGCAATGAATCATTCCCTCAGAGCCATGTGGTGTTTCCTTTGGCTGTGGCCAACAGTAACATACTATAGAGCACATACAACTCAAATATGGTAATGAAGTTTTTCACTCAACTCATTTTCATGAAGTAGGGAGTTAATAATATGATTTTAAGTAAAGCTTTTCTCATTAAAAGAAAGGCCAGAAATACAAAAAACTTAGCAACCACTCCCTTCCAATATGACTGTTCTTTGCTTTAACGATCTCCTCTCTCCAAAAAAAGATGACATAAAGATAAAAGTAATTCCTTTCTTTTCTTTTCTTACTGATAATGTGAGAGCTTATATAGTACATATTCAGTCAAAGTGTCCTCATAAAAAAAAAAATAAAAATCTAAGATACTTACGGAGTCCAAACCTTTGGAAAGGCAGCAATTTCTTCCGGTGTATATTCATCTAACCTCTTGGGGACTGCACGCGGCTGAGGAATCTCTTGTAGAAGATTCCTCTCTATATCTTCTGGAATAACCTGAGGCAGGTGAGAACAGTTTCAGCTATCTGATTGTTTAAAAAACCTCACCACTCTCCCCCAAATCCAGACCAAAATTTGTCAACAGTACTGCATTCTTCATGCTGTTTTACCTAAATACAGCAGATAATTCACACGTCTTGTATCTCACGATTTTGTGAAATAATAAAGAAAAAAGCATCAACATTTCAACTATATTTAGACACTTAAATGAAAAACAGCTTGATTTTTGTTAATTTCTCTTCTTATGACAAGAGTTTTGCTATTGCTAACACTCCCTCTTTACCTCCAAATCACACAGGAATGAAAATGTAACTGCATGACTACTCACATCTTCTGGGAACAGATGCAGCCTCTGCATCATCGTTCTTCTCTGAAGGTTTTTTGGAAGCATTCTATAAATGGTCAGTTTAACAATCTGAGGAAAGATAGCATGGCAACGAATAATCAGACAAGCTACAAATAACATGAAAAAAGTAAGCTGTGTTTCCCTCTGCCTATTCCACTCGTCACTGAACCTCTTTTCAGTCAACGTCTTCCATGCTGAAGAAGTCTGGCACCATGTTCAGAAGCTTCTCTAGACTCACTGTTTTGGAAGAAGGAATGAACAGCCATATAGAAAATCTCAGCTTAGAAAGTTAAGAGCTATATTTAGCATTATGGATGACTGCATATGATCATTCCCTCTGAAAAGAACCGAGAAGCTTATGGTAACTCTGTATCATACTGTGCATTTATATACACCAAAACACATCATTATGGACTCCACCCAGAAGGGGAACATTTGTAAATGTAAAACAAGGCACGCAACTGTAGGGGACAAAAAGGGCTTTAAAAAGGACAACAAAGCATTTAGGGGTAGACCCATGTTCAATTTTTAAGCAGAAGGAAGCCCACCGTGCCTGTGCTCCAAGCCTCCCAGACATAAACGAGCTCCACATGAGAAACTACCCAGGCGTGCTCAGCGCGACGTTAAGCTGAAGTCCATAAGCAGCACGCTAAGCACAAGCCAATCTCCCAGGCATCCGGATGTTTTGAAAAGTGTACTGAGCAAAGTTGCTTCTTTTCACAAAATTAATTAAAGGAATTAAATCAAGATTTTGGAGACAATCACTAATACTGAGTTCTCAGCTGGAACCACAAAGTTAAGATAGAACGATTAATTGTTGCAAGTGAAATTAATGAGAAGCACGGGTTCTTAAACTTGCAGGCTTTTCTACTTGGATTCTGAAGTTAGTAAACACTCGAGACAGTTTGGCCCCAGAGTTATTTTCATTTTGCCATGTAACAGACAGTAACGTTGTCTTAGGACCCTCATAAACATATACTATATGCCTTGAGAAACTCTGAAGGCATTTACAGAAGCCTCAACATCATGCAGATTTTCAGATGTTATGCAGCCAGTACCACAGATCCGTGGACACATACAATAAATCAAGATGATAGAAGAAATACATCAGGTCAGACAGAGTAATCTATAACATTGGTATCTTCTCTAATAAAAATTAATATGCAATTATCAAAAAACAAAGATGAAAACTGGTGCTTTTAGAGATAGAAACTATCCATGCTTGTAGAGCAAACGACAGTTTATTTAGGTCAGCATATCATGTGCTAAGACAAAGGTAAGATGAAGACAGAAAATGAATCTTCACTTATTTACCTCACTGCATATTGAAAATCAAGTGAGATGCCACAACAGTGTAAGAAAACACATGGATATTAACAACAGCTCACGTGAACAGCCCTTTTACCATCAGTAATTTTAATTCTGTACATTTATTTTGCTTTCTACGCAGTGTTTTTCCTTATAGTCAATGAAAAATCAAAATATATCAGATCTAAAGCAATGGAACCAGAGACTTCACAACATACTGCCCAACTGTGGTGATTTTTTTTCTTTATCTAAAAATTACTTTTAACTTCAGATTGTGATAGAACCAGTGTTAATGCCCTAGATTAATAAAGTGTACATAGACATAGTCCAACATATGACCTACGATCCACAGAGAGCTAATTATTTAATGATTTCACTTCAAACAAAAGAGACACTTTAAAACACTGTAATGAACAGTGTTAAATATTTCACTTCTTCAAACAATCGATGTTTTTTCATCTTCCTCTGCAGCATGTGGCACAGACATCTGTTGAAACAAACCAGTGAGCTGGACGAACAGCTGGTCTATTCTGGTTGTAGATACTTCTGCCTGGTGAATCTGATTCAATTTTTTTAGCTACATTACAAAAAGAACAGTTCAGTTGTAAAAATGTGCCTATTAAAAAGTCACACTGGAAAAGAATGATTTATATGCTCAATTTAAACAATGAAGAAATACTTTCAACATTGTCTACAGTCACTGCAGAACTGACAACCTCAGGGGACAACAGAGTAACATGAAAGCAGGACTTGGAGAATGATAATGGATAATGAATGATCATGGATAATAACATATTCAATAACAGTTTCTACAGGTAAGTATGCTAAGCGCAATAAGCATAATCCAAGGTATGCTTTGGTATGTCTACAAATCTCCAAGCTGTTCAGGAACTCATTTGGCTTTCCATGCCCTCTTACACAAGCAAGAGCTGGATTACTACAAGATCTGCAACAGAAAAATCACCTCCACACAAAGCACAAACCATTTTTCACTGCCAGACAGATCATTGACTGGTTTGGGTTGGAAGGCACCTTCAAAGATGACCTAGTTCCAACCCCCCTGCCATGGGCAGGGACACCTTCCACCAGACCAGGTTGCTC